TGTACTCGGTGCACAATCCGAAAGGTCATAAGAGAATCTGAAGCGTTAAGTTACGTTTCCATGCTTATTGAGAACCAGGACTTTGATGACTTGGCCAGTAAGGCCGGCGCATGCATGATATCAAAGGCTTGAAGTGAACTGTCGAACATAGAGCTTCGAGTAGCACGAATATGGTGGCGGTGGTCGAGTGAAATATCCGAACTAAGGAGGAAGGAGACGTATTTTACATAGCAAGAGGGAGACTACGATGATACCTAAATAAAGAGGATTGAGGATTGATTGATTGTGTATCAACATTACCAGCATCGAAATGATGAATGAGCCAGTGCCAAGTGTGAATTCGCCCAAAAGGGCACACCTCAACTAGGCTCAGATAAGCAAGTAAGGATTTGTGATAGTGGACGGGTGTTAGGAGAATATAGGACATGTGAATACCCCAGGATAGGAGAGATATCACAATTATTTAGCAAACAATTGCTCAAAAGATTGACTTCCTTTGTCTCTTTTACGAGTTGTAGTATGGGGCTAAGAATGGCGAAACGTTTTAGAATGTACAGAGACTACGGTCCGACTCTGTAAGCTATAATGCATACTATGGAGTACGGACGCGTGTGTTCCTCTAGGTTGTTAGTGGGACCTTAATTTCGAATGAAAATGCATGAAGGTTTGCTGATTACTGTACATCTGTGTTTAAAAGAAAGATAAGAGAAGCTATTGAAATTAATAACTTAGGAAATAAATTGAATGTGAGAAACGGAGGTAGAAAGTTGAGTAGGAATTACTTATGCTTGAATGATAGATTGAAAGAGAGAGAGGGTGTTGAGCCACCTTCAAAAAGAAGGTGACTAAATTTGTCTGCTCAGTGATGGTCCTAATTTTACTCTCATTCGTCCAACATGTTAGAATAAGCTCATCAACCAAAGCCGATATGTCAGTTTACACAACTCCAGTCTTGCCTTTCCTTGGAGGGTTAACGGCTAATAAACTTTGACTGAAAGGTTAGGACAAATGGTTTCGCAACTTGATTTTCATTCTTACAAGGTCATATTTCATTATCTCAACCATACTTGTTTACGGACCTACACAGTCTCGGTCAAGGATTTCTCTTGGCTCAATGCAGAATGGGAGCTTGACACGCTAAGCGCTCGGCTACACTGCCAAGAGCGCCTTTTGGGTCACAGGGAAAATGTGCATTTTCAAGTAAGGCCTCGCCTTGTTGCCATATCATATTCTTTTGGTGGAATTTTCGATGAAGCAAACGCATATCTGCTATAACGATCGACTACTATACTTTATTGTTTTCGTGACTACCAGTAGATCAGTAATATGAGATGTATTTACCCAATTTCGTTAAGGTGATGAAGTCGCTTCATCAACGATCCCACAAATGATATTGCAAAAAGGCCTGGTCTTTCTTGGAAATTGACATTTGCCCTGTGACCCAAAAGGCGCTCGTGGCAGAGTAGCCAAGACTTTAGCGTGTCAAGCTCCCACTCTGCACTGTCGCGGTTCGACTCCCGCTGAGGGTGTTAATAAGACCGATGCGAGGTCGAGACTGCAGTCCACATAGGCCGGGATGAGAACAACTTTGGGGAAAGCAAGGCTATGTGAGATTCAATGGAAGCGTCAGCTCAACTCATATCATTGTGGGAAAATTCTTCTTCTACCAATCCTTCATCACCTTAAACGAAATAGGGTGAATACATCTCATATTACTGATTTATTGGTAGACATGAAAACAATAAGTAGCCTATGCCTTATCAGATGTCTTGTAATCGGATATATTTTTTGAGGGCATTTTAGGGGACAAATCAAATTCCCATTCAATATTTGCCTGTACTGGCCATTTCTAGACAAATGTCTCCCAAACAGGCAAATGTGTGAAGTTTTCTCTATGAAAACTCTAACAAGATTTAGATACCTTCATAATTTTTAGTAAGTTATTATAAAAGATAGAACAGAAGCTTAGCAAACATCTATAACCTTCTAGGATACTGGAGCGGGTTTAGGATTGCCTGGAATCATTTAAAAATTGGGAGAAAATTCCACTATCAATCTTTAACTCACCGTAGGCGAACTAGGCTGACCAACTTCTTATTCAGCAAACAATGATATATTTGCAAGAATGCGTTCCAGCTGTGATGATGTCCATCATCAGATGATGGACGAAAGCTCAGTCCGTTTTCACGCGAAGCGAGGGAGAATGTCTCGTGAACTGCGCCAACATGAACAGCGTATTGAAGCCAAGCGGCTGCAGTACTGCACGAATCTGCCGCCGTCTTCTGACAAGATCAACCTACGAATTTATTCTTCATCTACTTTCACATGAAATGAAAGTGTGACCAACAAGGTTGTCTCAGGAGATTCATTGAAATCCAGTTACTCCTCGTATTTGCGATAAGAGATACGCTATCAAATCGACCCAACATGCGGAAAACACAGGCACTTTTATGTGAATTGACTCATTAAGCATAAAGCTCTATTCAGGGAAATTCTTTCTTTATGATATGCTCCCCATTGCCAGGGCTTGCAAGTAGTTGTCCCCTGGTTCGAGGTCAATTATTGCAGCCAAATATTGTTTGTACCTTTTTGCAACTATACACACATTGCCGCGTCGAAGCATAGAGCAGGCTTAAGAGAACAGGTGAAGGCTAACGACTGCAAGCATTGCCCAGCTCGTCGTCTGTATCGCCTCTACTCGACGACATGACTGCCCGTCTGCCATTTGGGCCCAGGATTCAGTGTAAGCCATCTCCAACCGAGCTGGGCACTAGGCTACACATGCTCAAGTCTGACTATACATAACAATAGCTTAAAAAATAATACATTTTTGAATGATGAATTATAGAAGAGAGATATAAAACCGCAGATTTTTTCCCATGTTTTGTCTTGATCTTCGTATTTTCTCTCTAACAAGATAGACCAACCAGCATGGGAGTGTGTAGTGAGCACGAATTTCAGGGAAACTATGACACTTTCTTCGGTTATGCCCACTTTTACCGACGAAATTGACCCATTATCCAGATTAGGTCATTATAATACAGTGTGTACATGCGGTCGTTTTATGTTGGACTGATTTGTCGTTCCAGTTGACGCGTGGCTGATCCCAAAAGCGCCTGTAGATGTCATTGTTAGTGGGACTTTCATTTCGTATGAAAGTGAATGAAAAAGAGATTCTTTGGTCGATCTCATCGGATGAGGACGGATAAATCTCGTTTTACTGCAGTCGTTTGGCTTTTGTGCTATATTCATGTTGATGCAATCCAAACGACTGTAGTACAACGAGATTTATCCGTCCTCATCCGATTAGATCGACCAAAGAATCACTTTTTCATTCACTTTCGTACGAAATGAAAGTCCCCCTAACAATGTTATCTCAAGAGATTCGTCGAAACCCAGATTCTCTTCGTATCGCCTGTAGATGCCGGTAAAAACTGGCTTTTTGCTGGTCGTTTTGCTGATTATGACATGTTTGCGTCCAAGCCTAAAATCAAACTAGACAATACATTTCATGTAAGAAATACCGGTTAAGAAGTTGAGTAAGGACTACTTAAGCTTAATTGATAGACTCGAGGATGGAGAGGATGCTGAGCCGCCTGAAAACAGAGGCGATTCAACGATAACTTCATGTATAAACTGTAATTGCGGTCACTCTTGTGTATTTTTTAGCCCACTTTT